AGGGAAGGGAAGGGAAGGGAAGGGAAGGGAAGGGAAGGGAAGGGAAGGGAAGGGAAGGGAAGGGAGCTTGGCAGCTTTGCTATTTTTGGCAGGGATCTGATATTTGCTGGGAAGATGGAAGAACTTATTTTCAGAGAAGCATCTTGAGGTAGGAACTTTGGGGCTACAATAGGATGAAACAGTGCAAGGTAGAAGAGAAAAAGTTATATCAACATCATAGGGACCTGAAAAGATTTTACATTCATCATCTGTGGAAATCAGGGGTTGCTGATGTAACTGGGAAGGGAATAACAGGAAAAGGATTTGGGCTTCACTCCAAAACATGGCAACAGGGAACTACAAAGCTCCACAGACTGGACCACAGGGCACCTTCAGATCATTAGCATGTAGAACAAAGAGGTTCAGGAAGACCCTCTGGTGTGACCCTTTGCACAAGGAGGAACACAGGAAAAGTGACAGAGGGTACAGGGCACAGAGACACACCCTCCTTGCATCCCTGCCTGGGAGGGGACACACACAGTAATTCCAGCATGTGCCACCCTTACCTGCACCAATGATCAGCACATTGGTGCTGCTCAGGTTGTAGTTGCTCAAGGAGATGCACTTTGCCATCATCTTTGTCCTTCTCTGTGTCTGAAGAGCCTGTGCCACCACCAAAAAGAAGAAGAAAAGCAATTATCTTTACTCAGCATTACTGTGGGCAGCCAGGCAGGGATGGGGACAACTGCGCAGTGTCATAAACCAACATGGATAGGAAAGGAACAACCCCACCCTTGTACTGAACAACTCCAAATCCCTGCTCATTCAAATGCCATTCCAACATCCAGTGCACTACCCCCTACAAGGTCCAAAGGAAAAATAAATCTGTCATCTTCTGCAAAGCCATGCAGCTACTCAGAGCTGGGGTGGTGGTGGGGTAATAGAAAAAGCAGGTGTGTCCTTGTGCAATTCTGTACCACAGGTGAGACAAGAATGAAGAAGCTCTGTCAGGAGTTTTATCCTGAACCTGAGCAGAGCTTGTACACCTGACATCCAAAGCTGGTGGACTTGTCTGATCCACCAGGGCACAGGCATGGACCTATGCCAGCGTAGCCCTGTTACACAGACCCCTTGTTCCCAGGCATTAGAGGCCAAAATCTGTTCCTGGTATAGCAAATAGACTCAGTTTCCCCTCATCTCATCCCCAAATCAGTTAGAGTTGAAGTGCTGCTACTCAGATGACATCTGTGGATCTAACTCAAGTGCTATAATGGGCCCATTGGGGCTCTGAGCCACTGGATTGGCATAACAGTACATAAAACCATGCATCAAAATAACTCTTTTCATGGAAAAAAAGATGGCAGTGGCCTCAGTGGGCTTCATTCTGCATCCCATCAGGGCAGAAGAGCCCTTTCTACCCCTGCAGCAGGTAGAGCAGGTAGAGCTCCTGCTCTCCAGCAGGAGCTGAGGTGTGGGCTCAAGAGGGTGCACAAGTGGACTCTGTCATCACCATGCCAAAAGGCTGGTGGAAGAGGCCTCTTTCCATGGACCAGCTAAATTAGAAGCTGCTCTGAGCTTAAGGAAACATAGGACAAAGGCAGGACAAACACCTGTAAGACCTGAAAGCATGGACAGCCTAGGCCAGGTATCCAGCAGCTGCAGGGAGGCTGGGTGGGAGGGGAACCCAACACCTTTGCCTTGCTCCACTTGTACCTCCATATGAACTGTATACTCACACATCCCTCTGCCCATAACAGAGGATCAAAGATAAGCATTTCCCCCCACCCCCATGCACATAAAGCAAAGCATGAAACCATTAGCCTTAATTTTTGGATGTCAGTGCCCCCTCACCTGCTTGCTTGCTCGGATGTATACCTTCTCCTTCTCAATCTTCACCTGAGGGTGACAGAATAGTGCTGGTTTGCAGAGCAGCAAGGGCTCCCTCTGGGCAACAGCTAAGGAACAAGGGGTGAGGTCACCTGTAGGAGCAGCTGAGGCCATGGCAGGGCTCATCCCAGCTCGAGGCTGTGGGATCTTTTGATTGATATCAACCACTCACCAATGCTCAGTGTACAACCTGATTTCTACCCCAAGGTTACATATGTTATCTCATTCCCACCCTACTCCTGAGATCTCCCTGACTGGGCACTCCCAGGTTCCCAGGAGGTGTCTGATGCCTGTGGGTGGGTGAAAAGGAGTTTCAGGAAGGAAGGAACTGCTCTCCATTGGAGACACCAGCACATTCTTGGAAAATATTTGTTCCATGCCATATACAATGCTGCTTATCCCAATAAAAAGAGAAGGACTGGGATGGTTCAGCGAAGAGAAGAGAAGGCTCCAGGGATACCTCAGAGACCCTTCCAGTGCCTTAAGGGGCTCCAAAAGGGCAGGAGAAGGACTTTGGGCAAGGACCTGCAGTAACAGAACAAGGGAGAATGGGTTCCCACTACCAGAGGGCAGGGTCAGATGGGGTATTGGGAAGGAATTGTTCCCTGTGAGGATGGGGAGGCCCTGGCACAGGCTTCTCACAGAAGCTGTGGCTACTCCATCCCTGGAAGTGTTCCAGGCCAGGTTGGAGTGGGCTTGGAGCACCCTGGGATAGTGGAAGGTGTCCCTGCTCATGGCAGGGGATGGAATGAGGTGGGCTTCAAGGTCCCTTCCAACCCAGAGCATCCCGCAATTCTGTGGTTTCCTTTGCTGCAAGGACAAGGATCTCACCTGGAACCTGGGTAAACTATCCAAGCCGGGAAAGTCCTCAATGTCACCTGTGCCGATATTGAAGCAAGCTCCATGCCAGGGACAGCGGACTCTTCCTTTGGACAAAACCCCTGCAGGGAACATGGCAGAGCAGGGTTGGTGCTGCCCTGCAGCTGCCTCCCATCCTGTGGGATGGCACATGGTACAGGACACATGGCAGCTGATGTGGACCTGGATAGGCAACCTGGACAGGCAAAAACCTGGACTTTTCTGAACATGCACACTGGGCATGTTTGGGACAAGCTGGGATCCCTTATGAGCAATTCCTTTTAAAATGTCTTCGATGGCAGGGTCCTCCAGTACCTCTGGGCACAATTCCAAAGCTGTCTGCTCTAGGATATAACTTCACTCTCCAGCCAGGATGGGGCTGCCATCCCCAGAGTCTCATGATCATCCTTACAGGTCCCACTATTACCCAGAACAAGTGGTGCCTCAAGTACTGCATCATTGATTTAGAGTATGTATGTTCCAGAGCAGACCCTGGCACAGCAAGGCACTTGCACATGCTTGGGAGGCACAGGCATGCCCAAAGCCATGTATTCTTTTCTCTAGGTCTTGGCTCAGAGGCTGCTACCTCTTTCCTCTTCAGCTTTCCCTGCTACAACATCGGGACAGAGCATAAGCCGCCATGTGGCCATGGACTGGTCTTGAGCTTGTGTCTCTGCTTGCTGAGGCACAGCAGTGCCACATCTCATCACCACCATGTGTGGGGTGCAGGAGCAGCCCCCCTTCACCTATGGCTGCAGCAAAGTGCGCAGAGAGATCCCTGTGTGACAGCCAGTCTGGGGAATGCACCACAGGTCTCTGAAATGGCAGTGAGCTCTCACCTCCAGGGTAGCGTGGGGCTCCTCTGCCCTGCTCAGGAAGCTGCTCACCCTAGGGGAGGGGCTGAGAGCATGGCTGCTACACACAGCACAGCTGCTGGGCCAGCAATGCTCAGAAGACACTCAGAAGGATGGTCCCCTGTCTTCCCCAGGATCCCACCTCCAGTGAAGTGCCCTCCCAACCCCAGTTTTGGTGATGCATGCCAATAAACAGCCAGGCAAGCACTGCCTGCTGCCATCGCTTAGGCTTGGAGCAGAGACCTGCCTGAAGCCTGTGCTGAGAAAGTGCCAGGATGCATATTTTTATGTCCCAAGATGGGAAACCACTCCACCTCATCCCACTTCATGTCAATAAGTGATAATGAGCAACATTCTTTTTGCTACTGAAAGGATCCCAAAGAGAGTTCTCTTTCCCTTAAACTAGAAGAAGCCCAGCCCTGTGACCAGCAGTGGCAGCTGCAAACCAGAGATGGCAAAGTGCTCTGGGGTGTTTTGTACAACTCCAACTTGCTGTCCATGCATTCCCCAGCCAGAAGATGCCCAGGTGATGCTGAGTATGCAGTGCAGCACTGCTGCATGCTTGGCAGCATAGTCAGGGGACTGTCCTTTGCCCTGTGATGCCCTTGGTTGCTCTCCAGGACATGACACAGACTGACCTTTGACCAGCGGAGCCCCGTAGTGGGGACACTTGTGTCCCACGGCATGGAACTCGCCATTATCCTTGATGAGCAGAGCCTTCCCACAGCCCAGGTCCACTTCTCGCATCCTGGCAAGGAGGAATATGGAAACAGATGGCAGAGTCTCTACCTCACAGCAGATGCCACCACTCTACCCTACAATCCAGCCCCAGTCCCACCAGGCTCCCCTCCTCCTTCAGCTTGCTCGCTACTGGCTTGAGGTGACTACAGATGTGGGTCATTCCATGTCACCAAGACAGCTTTGGAGGTGGCTCTGCTGTCCCAGCCTGGGGCACATTCAAGCTGGGCCATTGAGTGGCCATCATTTATCCATCATTGTGCCAAGGGGCAGCTCAAAGCACCACCCCAGCTGCTGGGTGAGCTGGCAGTGGGAGCAAGTGACCTTAGGAGTGCCCTGTGATGATCTCGGGGGACAGTCCAATGCAGGATAGCAGAGTTAGTCAAAGTGGTGCAGAATGGAGGGAACACAAGTAATGGAAAGCCTTCACAGGAAAACCATCCCCCACAACCCTTCTGAGTTATCAGGCACAAAAGGAAAAAAATATTAAGCTCTGGGTGAACTTTTGGCCTTCTCACACAGCACATTATGACCTATCAATGGTCTGATAAGGATGGGCCCCATATCTACTTACCAGTAGGACCTAGAAAACAACATTTGAATTTTCCAATTACTACAGGAGCCCATATATCTCAGATCACCTCCATAAATGCCAAGAAAATAAATTCAAGTTTTAAAAGAAAAAGAGTCTGTCTAACAGGATCCATAGGACAAAGTATTATCTATTCCACTGTCAAAGTCTGTTTATAGTTACCTGGGGAAAAATTAATGACCTTAAACACATTGCAATCATAGATCATGAATATAACATTTTAGGATATGATATCCTTAAAAGAAGTTTGGCGATTGCACAACAGGAACGTTTGGTCAGCCAGATGCACAAAAACTCCATATAATAAAATTTCTGGAAAAAATTGAAAATTAATCTATTAAAAATTTAAAACAAAAGGGCACTATATTTAGGACACATACCCCATATAAATCTCATGTTTGGCCAGTGAGGAAACCAGACATGAGCTGGCACTTAATGATTGATTATCAGTGGCTGAATACCAACATGGAAAACTCATCTCAAACATTGCCACTCTCAGTGCCACCCCACAAGCAGCTGCACACAAACAGATGGCAGTTCTAGATGGAAAGGACATGTTCTTCGTGGTTCTATTTCAGGATACTGGAGAAATCATATTCCTGGATTTTTTCATACAGCAAGACCACTGTATGCATTAATGAGCAAAAGCCAGACTTAGGGGTGGCTTGATAGTCACAAAAGGCTTTACAAATGCTAACAGAGGAGTTAAAAATTTATTCATCATTTGGGACAGTTCATTACAATGATCCTATAAGACGTGAATGGGGTTTTGCTGAACATGGGACTTAACATAACATGTTCCAGAAAGGCCCACACAGACCTAAACAACCATTATGGTTCAGTTCTGCAGCATTAAAAGATCTTGAGATACTCTGACTGGTAAAAGGGATTACGATCTGTGACCCGAGCTCTTAAACAAGGAGAAAAAATTCAATAGCACAAATCTGTGCAAATCCAAAGACCTTTTAATCTGTTAGCCAGTATTAAGAAGGGCTGTGCTCCATGAGGTGGTATTGCACAAAGACCAACAGTGCACAAATGGTGTGCACGTCTCAGGAGTCACAGGTCCAATGGATATAACTGAAGGGCCAACAAAACCTGCAAAATTACAGATAGCCATGATCCCAGATATGCTGGGCTTGCAACAGCTGCATAAGCCTAGTGCTATACTTGGTGTTCCTGCGTAACGTCATACTCCGAAGTTAAAGATGTCTGGTTCACTGATACAGAGCAGTTACCAAGGGAACATCATGAACCTGTGCCATGAGAGAATCAGGCTGGATATCAGTTCTTCCTCCAGGGGATGCTGGAACACTGCTCAGGCTCCCCAGGGAATGGGCACGGCCCCGAGGCTGCCAGAGCTCCAGGAGCGTTTGGATGGCGCTGCCAGGGATGCCCAGGGTGGGACTGTTGGGGTGCCCTGTGCAGGTCTTCGAGTTGGACTGGATGATCCTTTTGAGTCCCTTCCAACTCATGATATTCTGTGATTCTATGGATGGGGCTCTGAGCAATCTTGTCTAGTGGAAGGTGCCCCTGCCCATGGCAGAGGGTTGGACCAGATGGCCTTTAATAGTCCCTTCCAACCCAAACTATTCTGATCAAGTGATTCCACGGTGTGGTACCCTGGGTCGAAGTGTGATTAGCACAGCAGGAATTGTTTACAACACTGAGCTTGGCAGTTTTTAGGCTCACTGGGCAACACATCCCTCCTTGACCAGCTAAGCCAGGCTGAGATTCAGCCCCATCCTGGCCAAAAACATCTCTTTGCTGATCATGCACCTTGTTTGCAAGCCAGAAAGAGCTACTGAGCACACCCATCTGCTGGATGAGTGATTGGTGATACCACTAGCACTGAAAAGCAGTATTTTAGAAAATACTATCACTCCTGTGTTGTCCAAGAGGTGCTCCATAGCCTTCTGTCCTATCAGGGATAAACTGAGCAATACACACTTCTGCTCCATGCAGAGGTGAATTCGCCCACAGTATCTCAGGGATGTAGGGATGTTGTGCCTCCTCCATGGTGACAAACAAATCTGGCTCTGCCTGGTGCAGGCTGGCTGGGCACAGGCTCTGCATTACAGCTTCAACACATATTTGCCAGAGTTCCCATGCCCTGTAGACTGTGTACAGACTGGGCTCACGTTGGTAGTCATGTTACACTGGTCAGTGGCACTATCTACTGGAGCATGAGACTTTCAACCATCCATCATTCCCAGGAGGATGCTCATTGATCCTCTCTGCAGGCTGGAGACTGCAGCACAGAAGGCTCCAGCAGTGAAGACTCCACGCCTCCACCTGCCCAAACCTTGGACAAAGGCATTTCCTCAACCTTGCAGAGCTGTGCCCAGGCATTGCTGAGTGACACTGATGTTGCACTGGACTGAGCAGACATTTACTCTCTGTCTGCTCACTGTCCTTCCCCAGGTCCATCAGACCTTTCTCTCAGCACACCCTGTCTCTTCTTACCTCTCAGATGCTCACTTTCTAACCAATAGTCCTGATACACTCTGTGCAATCCATGGTCTGCCTGAGGCACTGAACCTCTTTCCAATGCAACTGTCAGCAGCTGCTTCCCCAGAGCAGAGTCTTCTAGCTAACCAAGGAGGAAAGTTAGAGCTGAGGAGAGAGCCCTTGTTTTGTATGGAGCTGGACAAGGAACACAGACTGCTGTTCCCTGGAGACTTCCCTTCTTCCAGCCAGAAAGCAAACAGCTTGATGTTTATCTGGAAATCCTGGTTTCTCCCACTGCAGAGAGAAAACCATCTCTACAGCTATCCCACCACATTGCCTTTCAGGTGCCAAACACATCACTGTGGCCATAGCAAACCCCACTTGCTCAAGGAAGTAAGTCACTGGCCATGTGTGATTCCAGAATGCTATTCATGCATGCCAGGTGCCAGGGTCTCAGAAGATTGGGACAGACTTCGCACGCACATTCCTTCTCAGATAACATCCCAACTCAATCCCAATACTTTCCCCCAGGCTACACAGACACTTGCTCCACTCTGCTTTGAAGCCATGGAGATGAGAACAGGGCTCAGCCCACCAACACTTCTGTTACACCCTCAAACGCACCTCAAGCCAGACTTTGGGCAAGTGCAAGACCTGCACCAACTGTCCAATGACAAATGCTCAACTTCCCAATTTCCTTGCTACCTTGGGTGAAAACCACACTTTTCCCTTTGCCCTTTGCCCCGTTAATTAAGCCACCTTGCTCCTCAGAGATGTAGCTCTGCTCCCTCACGGAGTAGGACACTTGGCACTTGGAACTCTTCCCTCTGCACAAGGGGAATGGAGCAGTACAAGCCCTGCTGCATTCCTCAGCTGATAAAACCTGTTCAATGGCAACCGTATCTCTGTGGGAAGATATGATAAGTTAAAGAATTTACAGCTTGCCCAAGGAGCAGTGTAAGCTGAGTAAAAAAACAAGACCTGGTGTCTTCAAGTCAGCACACAGTCACCTGCAAGGCTCCCATCCTGCACTCACTCCAGAGTAATTTAGAGAATGATTTATACTGCCCTGCACCTTGCTGAGCTGTTTACTCAGTTGAAAATTTGTCCTGTTGTCCCATTCCACTCCCCACCCAGGAAGCACAGCTGAATCTCAGCTCTGGCCTGCAAAGGACCTTTGCTCAAGAGCAGTGAGAGCACCAGGGGGCTGTTTTCTGTCCCTCCAGTTAGCCTGCTGGGAGGCTGGCTGGGTACAGTAGCACCAGTTTATCCTGTATATACAGTATCTTTCTGCATCTCAGTTCTGCTGAGGCCATGCTGGTAGCAGAAAGACATAAAGGTTGGGCAGAAAGCACAGTCTGTGCTTTAGTCTGTGCTTGCAGTCTCCACTAATGCAAGGCAGTAGTGCCCAAAGCCTCATGCCAACACCCTGAGCTGCTGTCATGCCCAACACAACCCTTGGGAGAATCATCTCAGAAAATCCGTCTCGGTACTAGCATGAGGGCACTCCTTTGGCTTGGCCTACTGTTCATGTGAGTTGTGGCACCCTCTCACAGAACTCCTATCTTGACCTGGACTCAGCCTGCTAGAAAACAGCTATTCTCAACCTAAAATGTCTGATGTTAGCATGTCTCCTGTCACACTCCTAGCATGGTGCAGCAACTGATGCACATGGGATCAGCTCCCAGAATAATGCCAGTTCCTAACCCTGGCTTTAGCTCCCTGCTATGGCCACCTGCAGCCAAGTACATTCTCACAGGCTGCAGCCAGCTCTCCCTCACCTTCCCTGCAGCCAGAACAGCTCTGCAAATTTTTTAATCTATCATACTCCCTGCAGTCAATCTAGCTATTCACATAATCACAGGGTAGTTTGTGTTGGAAAGGACCTTAAAGACTCATTCTACCCCTTGCCATGGGCAGGGACACCTTCCTTAGATTAGGTGAGACTGCATCTTGACCCTGGAACTGAACCCTCTCTGTGCAACCAGTACTTCCCAAGACAGTCTCCCCCTTTTTCTTTACTCCACCATCAAGGCAATTCCAGTTGCTGCCTGTGCTCTGCCCTGCTCCTCTCCAGCCCTGCTGCCACTGCTCACCTGCACAGGTGGCAGTAGGTCACCCACACTTCCACATGTCAAATCTCCTTGAGGGATACATTGTATTTCTCTGCCCCTCTACTTCATCCACCAAAGGCACCCACATCCTTGAGCAAAAACAATCCCATAGGTGGGTTTGTCTTTGCTTGAGGTAGAATAGATCCAAACTTGCTTCCTTAAGACATTCTTCACATACACCATGGCGACTTTACCCCCTTCTACAGTACACAGAGGTTTTGATTGGCCAGGGCCAGGTTGATTGGTGGAGCCTCTGGCGTTAACTGACAATGTGGCCTTCACTAAATCTAGATCCCAGTGTTTGAAGGTCCCACCACCCATTAATTTCAATATAGTTTTTAACAGTGCATTGTACCATTCCACTTTCCCAGGGCCTGGTGCATGACAGGGAATACAGTACTCCCACTAAATACCTTGTTCAGTGTTTATAAATCCAGTTCCTCAAAACCTTTAAGAGAGCCTAGGTGTTTATAAGGATATTTTTGAAATTAGTCCCATTGTCTGACTCAGTTTTTTCAGTGCTGCCTTGTTGCCACAGGATTTGTTTTTCAAGGGTCAAAATGGTGTCCCAGGCAGTGGTGTAAAGCATGGGGTATGTCTCCAGCCAACCAGTCATGCCTTCTATCATTGCCAGCCCATAACGCTTACCTTGGCAGCGGGTTTGCGGCAGTATGATGCAATCTGTCTTCCAAGCCTTCCCGTACTTACACTGACCACCACCCCCCAGACCACAGGAGCTTTACCCACTTGGCCTTCTTGATCACAGCGCACTTCTCACAACCGTGGATTACCCAGGAGATAGTATCCATGGTTAAGTCCACCACTTAATCATGAGGCCATGTTGCATCTCTTCTTTGATGGCCTGAGGTATTATGGGCCCACTGAGCCAGAAATAATTTACCCTTATGATGCTAGCCCAGATCTACCTGAGACACTTTCATCTCAGCAGCTCAATCCACCTGCCCATTGTTGCGACACTCTTCAGTGCCTGACTCTTACAGACAGTGCATCCATATGACGGACTTTGACAGCCAACTCTTCTGCCCAGGCACCAATGTTTCGCCACAATTCAGCAGCCCAGATGGGTTTCTCTCTGTGCTGCTAGCTGGTCTTTTTCCATCATTCCAGCCACCTCCACAGAGCATTTTCTACCATCCACGACTCATTGTAGAGGTAGAGTGTTGGTCATTTCTCTCACTCAGCAATATCTAAAGCCAGCTGGAAAGTTTTCACCTCTGCAACCTGTCCCTCAAAACCTTCTGCCACGCACCGTGTAGGACCCCATACAGAAACTTTCCATTTTTAATGCATCCCTGCAATAAGGCAAGAACTGTCACTGAAGAGAGCACATTGCATTTTCAGGCAGCTGATTATATGGGTGGGGCCTTCTCAGCACCTGTCACCTTCTCCTCCTCCTCTTCTGATGGCAGTCTGAAATTTTCACTGTAGGGACAGAAAGAGCTGTGCTTCAGTGCTAATCACTTCAGAAGCATATGAAACCTCTTAACAAACTCTTTTTCATTTGGAGTGTAACAGGCCTCAGATCCTCTGTATACCTGACACCAGAACCCCAGGGATTGTCCCCGAGTCTCCCCAGGTACCTTCTGTAAGAGGCTCCAGGACGACCATTCTTCCTGGCTTTGGTGTAGAGTACATTTTTCTCACCCTGTCCTGTCCTGACTGGCCAAAGGACTACTGCATCAACATCCTCCTATTTAATTTGTTTCAAAGCTTCTTGTTCTTCAAGACCCCCTTTAAATCATTCTTCTCCTATGTCACTTGATAGAGAGGGCTGACAATCTGACTGTACTCTGGAATATGCATCCTCCAAAAACGCACAGCTCCTAGGATAGCCTGTGTCTCCTTGTTGGCTGGTGGGACAAATCTGGTGGGTTTTGGCCACATCCACTGGAATCTGACAAGTGTGAGAGAATACCTTTCCCTCATGCTTGTCAAGAGCCACCTCCAAAGATGAGAGTTTCCATCCTCTTCCCAATTCTCCTGTGCCTTGGTTTGAAAAACAGATGTCTGCTAAGGAAGTCAGGAGCCTCTGTTGAAATGGAATGCTGTTACTTCCCCCTTCCCCCTTCCTCTGAATTATTATAACTTTGAAATTAAGGGGCTTTCAGGCGATGGTATGGGAAAAGGAATAGCAGTTCTTTACTAGTATGTAGAGCAAGACAAACAAACAAACAACAACAGCATTAACAATGAACAGAAGCACAGACCCATCCCAGCCTTCTCTCGGCCACCAGCGCTTTCCCCTTTGGTGCAGTTCCAGGCACAGCCGGCAGGGGCGTTCACTGGAACTATATATAAAAGCTATCCCAAACTATTTTCTTTTCCATACAGATGGGACCTTCTGAGATGTCAATGGAACCAGCACTTCTACCCCAGTAAAGAGGCATCTTTGAAGCACAGCGACTGGGACAGGCACACTTTAGACTTCAGCAAATTAAATCAGGGCAGTGAATGTGCCCAGCTGAAGTGTGTTCTCATTTGCAAAAGATCTGGAAAGCTGTATCCTTAGTGAAAGAGCAAATTGATGACTTCAGCTGGAAGAGCCAGGCACTGCAGACAGGATGGAGCACATGACCCGCCTCATCAGCTCCATCCATGCACTTCTCCTGCTGTTTTGTAAAATCACTAAGGCTACAAATATATAAAAAAAATGTCTAGGTTGGTTAATGCAAGTTGAGTGGAGCCACCTGAGAAATTCTGCTATAGAACATCACCTCCTTCTGAGACAAGTCCCAGTGCAGATCATGCAGAGAACAGCAGACCTTCTGGTAAGAACATCTGTCACTTGCCCATGCTGTATTTTTTTAAGATAAAAAAAAAGCTTACTAAGCTAAATTATCATCTCCAACAACTCCAAAGAACAAGACAGGGCATTCAGATTAGGTTAGAAGGTCTCTCAAGTTTTTATCTGCAAAAACTTTGGGCACTTACTGTCCATTCTCCAGGTCCTTCACGTGGCACACAGATGCTTCTACCACGTCCTTTGGGTTGTGGTAGGGGTTGCCGGCAATTGGATGCTCCTCAAGGTGGTAGTGCCGGGTAGTCCCATTGACTTTGTAGATCAGAGGGCTGGCTTTCCCATTGGGTGACATTTCCTCCTTGTTTCTCTCCTTCTCAGGTATCACAACTTCAATTTTCACTTCAACTGCAGGAACAACCCAAAACTTTTGTTAAAATGAAGGCAGAGGTTTTGCTGCTGTTCACTGTTCTATCACTCCTTCCCTCCCTGAACTTGGAAACAGACATCAAAACAGATATTTTTTTGTTGGCTTGACTTGCAAGGCTCGGCAGTGCTTGCTTGATTTAACATCAAGCTTGACTTGATTACCTGAGCCCATTATTCCTCTGTTCTTTCTGCATTGGGCACTTCACATTCATAAAGTACATATTCTTGAAAGCAGACATGAGTCATTGGTGCAAAGCAACATTTCAGCTACAGTTCTTGTCTTGTTTAGTGGAAAACAGCTTCAGTCAGCTCCACATGAGGCATGCCAGGGTCTCTGAGGCTCAGACAGATTTCAAAAACCTCTTTAATTGTTTGGAGGTAATGTTAACTGAAAGAGAAAGTCGACACTGCATGGTGCATAAAGCTGCTTCATTAGATGGAGACCAATTAATAAGGAACTAGAAATATACAAAATTATTTTCACATGAGATTTTGAGTCTAGAGTGACTCTTCAATAATAGGTGAGAGAAGCAAGGATGGTCCGTTTTTCTCATGTGTATACCAGTGAACAGGCCTGACAATAAATCCTCCCTGTCCTGGGGACCAGAGGACCCAGGGACACGTGGGAGCAGGGACAGTGGGAAGCAAAGGCTCTCTCTTCAGCCACCCAGGTGAGGACATGCAGAAGTTACTGTGAGGGTGGTGAGGCCCTGGAACAGGTTTACTCAAAGAGGCTGTGTCTGCCCCATGCCTGGCAGTGTCCAAGGCCAGGTTGGATGGGGCTTGGAACAACCTGGGATTGTGGAAGGTGTCCCTGCCCCATGGCAGGGTGTGGAACTGGATGAGCTTTAAGACCTCCTCCAGCCCAAATCATTCTTTCATTCTGTGTTCATACGAGCTCCCTGAAGGGCAGTGCTCACCCACCCCCCCACAGGCCCACCCAGCTACACCCCCATGCTCCACCAGCCTGGGCTGGGCAAGCTGGTCACAGCAGTATCAGAAGCCATTGATGACCTCTCACATCACAAAGTGGAAAACATCACTTTATCTCCTAGGGACTTCATCAAGCTAAAGCCATTAATATAATAATAAATGCCAGGAAGTTCTATAGCAAACCAGGGGAAAGTGCTGCAGACTGGTGAAGTGTCTCAAGTACACGGGAAATCATTGAGCTTTCCTTATCTTATAAATGTCATGAAAATCTGTGCAGAAGATAAAGTTCACAAACTAAACAGGTTAAGGAAAGGCAAAGGAAGGGTAAAAACAAGTCCTTCAGCAAGGCTTTTGAATTACAGTGATGCTGGGTCTTCCCAGCCTCATTTGTTGTCCCAGAAGTTTAATTGCAAGAATATTGAGAGAACAATGGAACAAAAGGTCATTCATTTTGGAAGGGAGAAATGCAAGTGGCCAAAGCCATGCAGGCCCTGGAGGCAGGTGGCTGTCTCAGGAGTCCTGCATGTTTCTGCTCATTGTGCCTGCTCAGCAAGGCAAGCATGGCTAATGCATGGCTTTTTGTGCCAAAGTGCCAAATCCCTGTGCTCACCCGGGCAGGATTCACCAGGGGTAGCTGACAGACAGATCCAGAAAAGTGATTTTCTGCGTATAAACACTGAACCAACAGGAAACATCACCTTCTGCTATGCTCTTGCAGCTGCAGGAGTTAATGCAAATGAATAGGGCCAGCACCATGCTTTAAAAATCCCACATTGCAACGAGCAAATCTGTTCCTGGAGCTCTAGAGAAGCAGCCCAGCTGCTGCAGGCACCCAGTGAAAAGGCTGCTCTCCATAAGCACTTTCCTAGAGCATTGGGAGAAGCAGACATGGATTTTCCAGGACAGAGTTTGGAAATATAATGAATACACATTTATGCAGTCCCAGCGAAATGCTTTTGGCCCAGGAAACAGGAGGCTGATAGCGTATGATTTCACAGTCAGCCTGCAGAAAGCGTGGCTGTGCATCCTTGCAGCCAGACTGCAGAGACAGACCATGCTGCAGGATGAGACAAAGGTTGGGCAAAGCTGATGGCTCTGAGCCCTAATGGTGAGGGGGACAAGGATATTTGTGAATTCACCCTGCAGGGAACTCACATCTCTTACTTGGCTGATGCCCCAGGACTTTGTTTTCCAGAGCACATTTGGGTCAGGTGAGCACATGGAGTGCCCACTGATTCACAGGCAAATCAACCTGCAGGGATGAAGATGACAATGTAGCTCTGAGCTTTTCCCTTCTTCCTCAGTTAGAAAAACATACACAGGAAGCAGCAGGTCTCTGGCACTCAGCCATCCCCACTTGGCACCCACCAACACTGCTGGACAAATGTCCAGAGGAAAAGAGAAAGAGTTATAAAATCTTCCTTCTCCTATTTTGGGCCCCACACTTCACTGCTTGGCTCTGTGGGGGGTTTATCCTACTTGCCACTCAGCAACTCCTTTCACCCCCATCTCCTCCTCCTTCTCATGCCTCTCAGCCCCTCATGCGGTGTTCCTCTGGCCTGAAATCTGCATTCCTGAGGGATGATCCCTCCAGGAATCCAGGGCTAAACAGCACCTGAGCTGATCAGCAAACTGGTTCAGTTCCCATAAGGGAAAATGACATTTAAATGAAATATTTATAAACCCAAGTTTATTTCTAAAATCTGATTGCTACAATGGGGCTGGAGCCAGTGTGTTCCAGCTCTTTGACAGTCATATCCTATAACTGCTAAAAGAGGGTCTGGACTTTAAAGCAAACTGTTTGGAAAGTTTTAGGTATGTGACTACAAATCTAGACTGTAGTCAACTCCTCAGGAATATAGGTAGAGATATGGATATAAATACGGATATTGATACATAGGTATGGGCATAAAGTTATAGATATAGATGATATAGATAAAAATATAGAGATGTATATATGTATAGGTATAGATATAAATGAGGGAAAGAGACAGAGATGTGCCTGCTTGCTCTGTGCCACCAACATCACTTATACACATACATATGTGTGTGTATGTGTTTGTGCAAGTTTCATGCACATTTTTAAGATATCTTTATAGATACACATTTACATAGATGAAGAACCAGAAGGCAAGGGCTGGAAATGTTTTATAAGAATATAAAAAAAGCAGAGGAACCAGCTGAGCATTAGCAAGTGCTCATATCACGTATCCATATACACCTCAGCACTGCAAAGCTCTCAGTATCCAAAAACCCTGATTCAGCTCCTCAAAGTCACAGAATCATTTAAAATACAGACTCTTGACAAGACTATAAATTTTGTCCCAATTTTTTTTTTCTCCCAGGTTTTCAGCCTTTAGGTCAAGCACTGCTGGGATCCTTTAAATACAATCAGGAACCATGTCCCAACACCATTTATCACAGTTGGCTCAGGTGCTGTTTTTCTCTTGTGGTCATGATGTTCTTGTTCTTTGCCTTGATGTCATTCACACAAGCAGTCAGCCCTTAATATCCCTTTACATCTCCTGTAAATTTATTCCTTGTCAATCACTATTCACAGCCTTGTGGGACAAGTCAAAGCCTCTGCTTGCTCTTGGAGAGACACTTTAGACATGAGGCCGGGATGATTTACATCGATCCCAAAGCAGGATGCTAGCAGGTGGCTGGGCTGCAATGCAGGGTCACACTCATTATTTTTTAAAAAAATAGGGCAATTAGATGCCCCAATACTTCCTTATCACAGGATTAAGCTCCCATTATGGCTCAGAGCCCTTCTGGAGGCTAAATTTAAATTATAGATATCAGGCCATTGAAAGGTTGTACCTCCAGGTACCCAATACTTAAAATACTAGAAACTAGGAAAATACTGAGTTAATATGGGACGAGAGAATTGACGTGAGCCAAAAGCTGATTTGAGCCAAGTGGAGTCTGGATAAGATCAAGATGCCTGACTATAGGGGATGGATGAGCTGAGCTGACAAGGGGAGGGCAGTGTGTCTGCCTTCCCCATCCCCAAAACCCTGTGATGCCTCAGAGTGTGCCACTTCAGGGCTGCAGGCACAGGGCAGAGGAATGCTGAGGGCAGGGAATAGTCTGGTGCTGGTTGTATGGTGCCAACAACTCTGGGAGCAGCAGAAGCCAGAAATGCATCAAGGGATGTTGCTATAGGGACCAGCAGGCATAGCCAGAAATCTCAGTTTACCCCAACAGGGTTTATTTTCCCAAAGCCAGCACAGAGTAAATCCACCACCATGCCACCATGTTTGGGGCTCACGGTGCCCTGCCAGAGCTGCACTCTCCAGGCATCCCCTGGGCTCGCCCACCCCACCTCAACTAAAAGCCCAAATGATAGTGACTTCAGGTGGTCTCAAAGAGACTCCAAACCATTTCTATGGACCACTTCTCCCCTCCTTCCAAGGCCAGGCTGGACAGGGCTTGGAGCAACCTGGTCTAGTGGAAGATGTCCCTGCACACAGCAGGGGGTTGAAACTACTTGATCTTTACAGACGCTTCGAGCCCAAACCATTCCATGATTCTATCATTCTATTAAAAATGACAGAGCCAATGACAAAACCACCATATCAAAAGTGCCTGACTCTGCTCTCCCTCTCCAGATGCTCAGTCAGCAAATTCTACAGTCTAAAACCAGGAGGTAGAACTTACCAACCAAGGCTGGGGACAAGCTCAGAGCCAAGCACAGGTCACACAGCCAACGACACCCCCTCCAGCACCCTCCAGCAGTGTGCAGCATCCCTGGGAAGGGAGCACATTGCCTGCTAAATGCATTCTCTGTGCAAGGGTGAAGCCCACCCCCAGACACCCCATGCGCTGGGAAGCGACTGCTCTGCCCCACTATCAAACACTGAGCCCAGCAGCAGAAGAAGAATCACGATTTATAGATTTTGAAGCCACTCTCCCATACCCAGTGCAGAGACAGAGCTGCCACAGCTCACACAGAGCTAGCATATGATGGTTCCTGTCACCCATTATCCTGACCTGGCTGCACTGTGGGAGTGGGTGCTGGGATACCATGCAGGCTACCAGCTGGGCAACTCATCCCCAATGCATCACACACCCAAGACAAACCCAACAAGAAAATTATGCAGAGACTGAGAACTGGGCCTTCAGAAGAGGATCCGGCATCACAGGACTGCAGCACTAGAGATAACAGCAGATTACTTCATTGTTTGAACATAAACTCTTAATTAAATACTGAAATATCCCGACAGGGATGGACACTGCAGCAGAGCCAGACCTCATGGCTGGCCAGCAGTACCGTCAGCTGCTTAGGGATCCAGGACTCTACTCCCCAGAGCTCTTCTATCACCCATCTGCCCATCAAAAGGTGATAAGTTCACAGTGCCAAGGTTATCTTGAGGGTGCTCAGAGAAAATGAGGGTCTCTCTTGTAATGAAGGAAATGGAGCAGATAAGGACCTCATGTATACCTTGAAAAAGTGCCTGAATCAATTATGTTCACTTCAGACTGCATCTGAAATATTCCCTTCATTTGGAAACAGCACTGATAGAGCAAATAGTTCTATTCTGTCCCTGCTTCTTATTTGGACAAGGAATAGGTGAATTCCTATAAATAGTAAATTCTAGTACTCAGCTCTAATACTGTACAATTCCAATATGAAACGTCACTGAAACCCTTTGTTAGAACAATCAGTAATGTCAAATTCCCCTGTTTACCTCCTTGCATTTGCAGGTTTATACACCTGGGATGAAGCCCTGCAGTCAGTGCTGAGCTACCCAGGGGAAGCGGAAGGCTTGTTTGAAGCCTTGGAAGATGTTAATCCAAACCAGAGCTGAGGGATGGAGGTGCATTGCAGGGTGGCATTTTCAGGCATTTGGCCCTGCTATGCAAATACAGCTCTCCACAAAAATCTGCAGCTCAGGAAAGATGCCCACAGAGCATTGGTGTTCCAACACTGGTCCAAGATTATACAGTTTGTTGATAGCATACAAAATTAAATGGAGCTCATAGCAGAGTTTGTCACAAGTTTAGTCAACAAAGGTATTTATTCCTGGATGTGGTTTTACTCCTCAAATATTTTAAGGAAATATATAAATGGGGCTTTCAAAGAGAAAACTTACAGGTCGGAGTGTCCAGTGCCATATTACTTTGGTGGTGACCCATAATCACAGTACAGGTCAAGGGCAGAAAACCCCCTTTATTTTCTCTTGCATAAAGGCAGTGACCTCACTCCATGGATGCTCAGTGAGTCACAGCCAAGCCATTTAGTCCTTCAACCTGAAATCTCTCCGGCCTCAGGCAGTGAAGACAAATTGCCAAGAAAAGGTCCCCAAAAGATATCTTTCCACCCACAAAGGCTACCAGGGATGCTGACTGGTCTGATAGATCATCACCATTCTCTGATTCCCCTTGCCCTGGGGCACAAGCAAGTAACAAGGACAAGGTCACCCTAAGCTCTCTCTCAGGTGGCCAAAACAAGCTGCAGGATGGGAGCTGAGAGCCCTCTTCCAGGGCAGTTTTGGGAACACTGACAGGACCGGCCATGGCTCCCTCGGGTCGGGTGCCAGGGCCATGCAGGCACTGCCAGGGGCAATAAGTATGGGTGATCATGCAGTACCTGCTTATGGTCAGCCTGCTCAGGACAAGGCAGAGCATTGGCACTTCCACACCAGGCCCCCCTCAACCAGCCAGTTTGCCTGGACAGGTCGCACCATCCCTGTCCCTCGCACACACCCAACCTTCCCCAAACTGTACAGAGCAGGAAGCTCACCCAGCCCAGCCATGAAAGGAATGTGCCAGGCATGAGGAGAATCCTTGATGTCCAGGTGTCTACAGCTGCTTTCCCCACCAAAAGCAGTACAGATGGACAAACTTCACCGAGAAAATAAAATCCCAGCAACAGAGCAGCTCCAGGACCTGGCCTGCTCCTTCCCAGGTCATTCCCTTCTCACAGGGAAGGAAATAAGGGCTGGCCAGTGAGTGACAAAGCTGTGGCAGACAGAAAGTGCTGGAACCCCATGTATCTGTGCTGGGACAGCTGTCACCCAAACCTACACTGGGACACGAGGGAGGTAACTCTGCTCCAGATCCAGCAGAAAGATAGAAGCAGGTGGGTGGTGAAGAACAAGGAGATGCGACCAGGCAGAGATGCAATCAGGCAGAGATGCCTCCCTCATGGTACAGGGTGAGGTCCCCTCCCACCACCTACACCACCACCCTGGCACTGCTGCAACCCCCCCACAGCTCCCTGCCCGGGAGTGAGAGAGAGCACTGAGGAATTTGGGGGGATTAAAAGCCCAGTAATCCTCCCTGCAGGAGCCGAGTATTAACATTCCCCCGGCCAGCGGCCACCACTGACCTACTTCTCCCATGGGGACAGTGGGATGGGGGCCCGGTGTCGGAGGGCAGTCACCTGGTTTGGGCTTGGAGAAGCATCCTCCCATGGTGCCGGGTGGGACTGGCAGCGGCGCCGGGCAGGTCAGCCAGGTCGCGGACACATCCTCTCATGGTACAGGGCCAGCTCGCGTGTCCCAGCTCCCGCGTCGATTCCCACCTGCGCTGGGTAGAAAAGCTCCATGAGAGCTGGTACAGCCAGAAGGAGGGAAAGCAAACCTGGGAGAGCGCAGCCGCCTGTGCTCCCAGCTGCCAGCAGCACTGCGGGCACCTTGGTGACCTGAGGGACATGGGGACAACGAGCTGCTGGGGTCACCGTGCTGGGAGACACTGCTAAAATCAGTTATGAAGTTTATAAATTCAGTCATCAAAGTTAATTACAAAAACCCTCATATCATTTATGGCCAGACTTTAATTAAATTTCCCAAAGCCCTGCCTTTGGGAATTAAAGCTCTAAGCACACAGGTCACAGCTCAAGTACAATGACTGAACCATAAATACATTTCAGTTGGGGTTTTTGTGTTATTAAGAGATGGAAAAAAAGAAGTCTGCTCTATTGCACAGTCCTGCAAGTTCCCCTATGCCAGTTATGCTCATTCCTGAAGAAATGCCATTGGCTTAGGAACAAATAATTATTTAGAGAAATGGTGTTTGATATAAGACCATTTTGCATCAACCTCATTTTTTTACACTATTGAGATTTTTTTTTTTTTTAATTTTTCAGATCAAGTTGTGTTTCTCTTATTAGCTTTGACTTGGGGTGCTCTCAGATTTGGTAAAGACTAAGAATTTAGATAAACCTTTCCGATTCCATTCCATGACTGAAAACAGCAAAGATTCATCCAACACACTGGCAATAAAATAGGATATTTTATTCATTTTACTCATTCCTACATGAATTCAACTGATTTACTATGGTTTTCCCATGTATTTTTCAAAAATCCCTCTGATCTGGGTAGGAAGTTAAAAACAATTTCCAAATTATATTTTGAGACAGGCAAAGTAGGTTTTTCTGTAGCTTAGAAAATGCCTTGAGATCTTTACAATGAGATGAAATTAGAGAAGTGCCAGGAGAGAGATACCAAGCACCTTCTTTCTTTAAACATCAACTCAACATATCAGGATGTATCCCCTCTGTTTTCAGCTATATCCCTCCAAAACACACCTTCAAACTCCCCTTCCATGTACAGCATCACCTCTGCCATCCCCAGCTGTGTTGCAGAAACAGCTTCAGAGTCTGGATCACATTGAATAAGCAACCCAAGCTATAGAAGAACACAAGCCCGCTGCCTTGCCCATGGTGCAAAGCAGGCAAATGCTATTTGACACTCTGCAAAGAGGGATTACTAAATGCAGAGGGAAGAGCTCTTCTCCCAAGAGCATCCTAGGAAAGTAGCATGACAACGTTTATGCAAGAGAAAATGCAAAAAAAAAGATATCATGTAAGAAGATGCATAAAGATAGAAGACGATTTGGGAACAGGAGGAAAAAATGCAGCAGGGACATTACATGCAGTAGCTGCTGTAGCGTCCTTTGCCAGAATCAGCACAGAGAAAGGGAAAATGGCTTTGTACCAGGGAAATCAAGTCTGGAATCACTGATGTATCAGTGATAGAGGACAACAGTTTAGTGCATATAATAAAATACTGCCACTGATGCCACGGGAGCAAACCAAGTCCCCACTAACCCAGATCAGCTCCTTGCAGTGGATTTCCTGCGGCAGAAGTGGACACTGTGGCAGCAAGATAGGATCATGCCCCAGGCAAGCAGTGCCCTGGCACCATTGCAGCATTCCCTTGGGATGCTACACATTTGGGGGACCACACTAGGGACCCCTAGATAGGCAGTGGGTTGGATGGCAGAAGGGTGGGTCACAAATATGCCTCACCAGTGAATCACTCCAACTTCTCCAAACTTCCCAGAGATGTTGATATGGGACTGGTTTCTAGCATGTCTGGCTGGTTTTAACAAGGACTTGGAGTGATGTCAGAGTTCCTGAATGTCGGAATGTCAGCCATTCATCTGAGATGCCTTTGCTTTGTTTGGATCTTAAAAATGACAATCTGCAACCATCCCCTCAAGCCTACTTCACATCTCCTATTTTTTCCACTCACAGTCCCTACAACCTTTCCAAGGCACTGAGACATCTGCACCTCTCAAAGCGGGTCAGGGGGAAGGGCTGCTATCAGAGGTGTCCCTTCTCCACTCGTAGAGTTCACCAGGCAACACAAAAATGGTTCTTGATAGGATTTCAGCTGATGCCATCAGGGGAAAAGGCATCTGGCTGCTCCCAGCCTTAATCTCAAAAAGCACATGGAGATGCTTCAAAGTCACCTGAGATTCAGCTGTTGCAGAAAGGCACCAGTCTCCCCTGTCAGACCAATTCAGGGGACACAATTAGGGCCATGTCACTGCTAGTGGCATCCAGAGGTATTGATCCAGAGCTGGATCCTGCAGGATTCGTGGCCAAAGCCATAAGCTCTGTTAGGAGAAGGAAATAAGCCCACATACAACACAATGCAGCTGAACCCAGGATCACCTGTAAAACCTTGCTACATCCTGAAGAGTGACAGCCTGAACTGAGCAAGGTGTCCATGCTCAGTAAACCAGTTCATCATCTGTTCCCTAACAAAACAACACTCTGTAGCACACAGCTGAACAGGAATACCTTCAGCATCTGCTCAGAGAGGGCAAGAAGGAGTGGGCTACCAAAATATGAGGCAACTGTTGTGGTGCTGAGGAACATACTACTTCCATCCCTAAAAACTCTAGTGTGAATGAGGAACTGGCTCTACACCTGGCTGGCTGCAGAACTCTATCATCCAGCACTGCCCAAGCATAGAACCAGGGACACCAACCTCCTCCCAAACAGGAAAAACAGGGAAAATGATCCAACAGGAGAAACATGGGAAACAGTTTAGAGCTACTGGCCATGAGCACTTCCCCTGCACAGCAGCAATATACGTAAAATATGGCAACATCAAGCTTCAGTGCAGGTCAGGGATATCAGACCAGAAAGCCACCCACTGGCTCAGCCCAGTGTCCACTGCCTGAACATGGCCAACAGCACCCATCTGCCATGAGCAGGCAGGAACAGGGCAGGAAGGCATGGACACTCCAGCCCACACTTCCTTCCTGCTGGGCGCAGAGCAGGATCCAGAGCCTGCACCACTTCTGAGCAGTGCAGTGCTGGCAGAGCTATTATTAGCACTGCTCTGCAGTGCCCTAGGCTCCTGTACTAATCAAGTGCTCTGCTGTGACTCCAAAATCCTTTCCAAGAGATAATGTAGCAAATATATGTGTATTAATACACCATAGGTATAAATAATGTTTTCCCCCTAAGCATCAACTTATGTTTATTGCCCCAATATCATTTCCTCACCTGGCACCCAGGTCCTTCCCATCCAGCTGCAGTATCTGTCACCATCTGTCCTGCTGCTGTAAGTAATCCTGCATCACCTGCCTAGAAATCTGGCACAGATATGAGAACCAAGCCATGCCCTGTGACATGGACATCTCACAGAGATGTCAGTTTGCAGTCCCAGCTAACTCCAGCTGAAGACCTCTGTGGAGGCCTGACAGGGACACACTTGTACCACTGTTGAGAGAGTTCCCTCAGCCATGATTCATCTGCTGTGTGAGGGGGGCCTGGTGCACATGAACACCAGCTGCCCCTGTGGCCTCTCCAGGCTCCTCCAGACACCCTAACTGAGCTTCTGGCTGCACACTCACCTTTTTGTGGACATCACCCTGACCTCAATTGCCCTGGCCACACCAACCCTGGGTGCCACGAGAGGAAGAAGAGGGTGAGAGGGCTGCTCCTCATTCACTTCTCACTTGCCCAGCACAGGTCCCCTTACCTGGTCCCCTGGACAGATAGAGGGGGTTTCTCTACCTCTCAAGGCAGCCTTGCCCTCTCTGTCCCATTGAACCCCTCCTCTCAAGCCCTGGACCCAAATTTCCTCTCCTCGGTGATGTGTCATCATCATTCCCAGTGTCATCAAGAAGATGACTAATACGACTCCTGGCACCAGGACCTAGCAGGTGTGAGGCCAGAGAAGGCAGGCACTCAGTGACAACTCACCACATGCTCTCAGAGAAGGGAGTCTGCCCTGAGGCCAAAGCATAGGGGAGACAAAGATGCTAGAGCAGCTGCCAGCTCCTGAGGATCCTGGATATGGCTACCAGAATAAGAAACATCTCTGTCCCTTGGTCTTACAATCCCTGATCCTCCAGGCTTTGCACAGCCCTGGTTCTCCAAAAGCTGCATCTCCTCCACTGCCCTGTCCTCCTTTTGGGACAGACCCAAGCCAGCCCTAGGTCTGCTGGGGACACAGTTCAGGTTCCCGAGGCTTAGGAACATGCCCATCATTCCAAGGAAACCAGACAGCAATAGATACTCCCATCTTGCCATCACCAGCATTCAACCTCCATTCTCCCAGGGAGCTCATGATCATTGCTCAGCCAGCCTTTCTCCTCTCTTGATTTCCAGGCACTACTGCTTGGACTGGCTCCCTCTCACAGCTGGAAATGCCTGAATGATCTCTGCCATGGGTCCAGCAAACCAGACTCCAAGGATTTATGTCTTCTCCACACAGGTGAGCTCTCTGCTTCCTCTGCAGTGCTCTGCAGCAGGATCTGGAGGAAAGGTGGGGGGCAACCCGGCAGAGCACCTAGAAGACCTTTGAGGAGGTTTCTGAAGAACCACTGGAATTCAGTGAACAAGTGGGGCATCTAGGACGTGCTCTGTTCCCAAGGAGATGACTTCTGTCTCTCCATTGACATCACCAGTCTGAAGAAGGGCTACAGGTCCATAAAATGCCAAGGTCCACATAAGTGAGGATGAGGAAGGTCTCTTCTCAGACACACACAAGGATCTTAAAGCAGAGGTCAACAAAAGATATCTCCCAAAGACTTTCTGTCAGGATGAGGAGGAGAGCTTTCCCCAAGTTCTCCTCAGTACTGGAGAACTAATGAAAGCCACAAAGGAGAGGCAGGCAGTGCGAGCCCTGGGGTGCCTGTTTCCCAAAGAGAGTCAATCAAAGGGCCAGTCAAAGAGACATTATACCTCTCAGCAGCTTTTAATGCAGGGAGCATTAACATGACAGCCCCAAGGCAGCTGTGGTCATGACTACACTGATATCTTCCATCAGGGTGGCACCTCCTT